ATTACTTCCCGAAATACGTACGATAATTTAAGATTGAATCGAGTTAAAGTCTTATTAGAACATAACCATTATATTCCATTAGGATTAATTGGTAGTCAACGTATATATTGTAAACAGTCATTTTATAGCGTATCGTATTCATTCATGTCGTAGTAAATGCACTATATGCATCACGAAATACAAATATAGAATCTTAATGATTTCTGTCATCGTTTACTATTTGTCACACTTTTTTAAATTTATAACCTCGATAGATGGATGCTTTACAACATTTACTTACTGTAATATTAATTGATAAGAATAGTTACTAACGTCAGTATAGGAGGATTTATATTAGTACAGAGACCTTATCTTAATTATGTTAACGTCAGCAACCTTATCTAATAAGGTAATCATTAATGTGTAATATGCAATGTGCAGTGCGAATCACAAATGCATAAGATCGTTGTATATAAGCCAAGTTATTACTTATTACAGTCGAGTTCCTCAATCTCTGGTCTTGACACTGATCTCCTAACAAACGTAATAAAATAGCCTATTATTATCTAACAACGTTTAGACTACTGTGAATTTTATTACACTTACTATTATATATATATATATATATATATACATCATAATTCACTAATCAATATTGCTAGTAAGCATCCTAAATTATGGGAAGCATTGATAACATCTGAATAGGAATATTAGAAGTATTTATCTTTCATAATTATTCTATAAGCTAAAAAATTTCATTTCTAATTTTACAAGAAATTAACAACTTACGGTATCTCTAAGATACCATACTTTTACACGATCTATTACACTTACAAAATGTATAAACGAAAATAAAATTTCATTGTACTGTATATTAACGTTCTATTTTCAGATAAATATGTAAAATAATTACCAGATGATTGAATATATCTAAGTTATTGTATAGACTTGCTAATTACCTATGTTCTTTAAAAACACAGAAAAAGTCCTATTCATACGATACTGCCACTTTTCGCATAGCATCAAGTTTGCTGAAAAGATACAATCCCTGATGAGCACATGTTTCGATGGCGAAATTATGGAAATGTCGAGTACTACTCCTCATAAAATACATCCTACTGTTTACTCTGAACTTATTCGACATTTTCGATTAGCAATTTTAATTTATGAAGACTGCAATAATAGAAGTAGAACTGAATGTAGACACTTTAGACCATGTTTAGAAAATATTATCCGCGATTGTAATGACAATCTTCCGTTTATGTCGGTTCTTATAAATAATCCTCGAAGCTATCCAGAAATTCTTGATAAAAAATTTGAATGTTGTTGGTACGATAGTAATGGAAGTGACGAGAATAAGGTAGAAACTCTCGAACACCTATATACTGATATGCAATATCATTTAAATTCATATTCGAGCTATGATGCATAACTTATCGTAGTAGTGCTGATACGATACTATATATATTTAATGTCCTTCAGTACTGGTAATAATAATGTTAATGATATTAGAATGCATGTAAAATCTAGGTACTTAAGCCAGTTTAGCTATTATTATTAACTATCACAATTGTAATTGAGCAACGTGGATAAATAGAGATCATCTATCGCTATAGCCATTTAAGCTATTTTTAGCTTAATACTATTATATAACAAAGGTCTTACTAGGTCTGTTTGAATTAATTGCTACTAGTAAAATAAACTGTCTGGATGATATTAATTATAATTATAAACCCAGATACTATCAATATACGCCGATTGTAATTCCGTACGAATAAAGCTAACAGAATTATGATCTCTTTTCACTACCGATATTAGTCCTGTTGAATCTTTATATCATAAACTTCTATTGCGACATTAGGAAAGTAATGAATATTTCTTAACTCCTAAATATATTTGCTTATTTAGGGTCACTATCTCTGTATAATTACAAAATGTACTTTCTACTCGAATCCTGTAATAGGCATAAATAAGTTCCTAATGACTACCATTGCCTACGCCTGAAATTATGCATCAACTTCATAATGTAAATATGTTATAACGCATAAGTTGTACTGTAGTAATTCCTACCGCAAGCAAAAGTCTAGAAGTACTGTACGGTATGTTGTAGCTACAAAATTGATAGTACACTACAAACTACTTATTCAATTAAGCGCTTGAAATAGTATCCTTTAAAGTCAACCAATATAGCAAATTTACACTTCATGGTAATTTACCGCCATGATAGTTTCAAGATCAAAAGTAATTCGTAATATCCAACAGATGAATACGAACAAGATGGGTATTATTTCATTTACTCTATGAGATCCATTATTTACTTTATGAGATCCATTATTTACTTTGACAAGATACTTATTACTAGTAGAATACAACAGATACTGCAATTTCATTGTAGATTGCAAAAGGTGTCTTATTTACCATTAATAATTACATACTCGTATATAATTAAGGTTCTTGATGTTTTATAACACATTAGTTTGCATCGATATTACCAGCTTTACTCATATTAATGTTAAAGCGTGAATACAAATTGTATATTAGTTGCTAACGTAAGGACTGAGTAAAATCCTGTCTCCAGTTAGATTAACAATTTATACTTAGAATCGATATCAAATTTTTAAATATCTTCATATAAGTATCGTATTTGTACTCTATACGGTAGCCAAGTTAATATCCAATGTAGAAAATGAAAGAATATTTCAGTACGATAATTTAGTGTACGAGTGTAATAGAGTTTAATCGTACTTTACTCTTAATAATCTAATCTTCAGTTAAGCTTAATGCGTAAGTATGACGGAAAAGGAATACTAAATAATCGGATATCTTTCAAATTAATTCTTTGCATGCTACATCTTTCCGTAGCTGAGATGATGAAACTTATAGGAGGGTTAAACGTTGTAGGATCAGATTTTCTCCTCTAATGAAGTACATTGTAAGCCCTATGATTGTTATTTACTTTATCTAATCCCATATAGGTTAAAATTTTATAATTATATTCAAGAGAAGATGTCAATTAATTATTAAACATCTTTCTAATTGTGTTTTACATGATGTTTTTATAGGTATCAGTAGCTCGGGCAGACGCAACGTAAGGTAATTTGGTTTGTTAATTAAAGATCAACAATTTGGATATTTAGTCTTTAGGATTGACTGTATTAACTCTAAATATCCTTCTAGTTGTGTGTTTTATGATGCTTTAAAATTCCCAAGTAACTAGGGTAGACATTACGTAAAGCTTTTCGGTATATTACTTAAAGACCATTGGATGAATCTGATTGGGCATTGTATGTTAAATATCGACATTTACTGTGTTTATTTACATTCCACTTACCCCGTTGAGATGGCAATCAATAAAATTACGTGTTGCAGCTGCAAATGAGTATTCCAGTTTCCCTCTAAAAGCTTAAAAAATGATAAAAATATGCATTTATGGGTTATAGAATAAAACTTTACATTTTATTTATAAGTGTTTTAATTTTTTCAATTGGAATATCGATGAAGTGCGTAAGCCGTTTCGTGTAATACATCGTCTTCTTGCTTAGTATTTTATCTCGCGCCGTAAATATTCGATATAGTCGCTTCTACTGTAATTTCTCATTAGTCTATAAAATATCAACTACTAAATGGCAAACATACTAGGAATGGATCAGACAAGATTTATTTTACTGATTCTACTTATCGAATCAACGCTTATTGAACCTAACGACAATTGTCTCAAGGAACGCAAATTACCAGGTATTATCGACATGATATTCATAAAAAATGGTGTCTAGCTGAACGAGTATTTCTTTATATTAATACTTGATAAGGCAAGATTCTATAAAATCATAATATCTCAGATAATATAGATAAATGTTGCTATTTCCTTTATGGTAATTGATTTTAAATTAGAGTAGCATACCTCCTTCAGATAATAATTGAAAATATTTTTCTAGTTTATTGTAGAATGCCTTGCCCGTATTCAGGAAATCTCAACTCAAGTGCATATATGATTATACGTATCATAAAATATATTCATTCTGATCTGCTTTTCAAATTTAATGTCAATTCTCTAGTTGATATACCAATGATCATTCAGAATAAATTCTATGTTAAAGTCTTGATGACTATTTTCTATTCCCGTTTTCAATTTTGTTGTTAAAGCTAGTCGTAGTTAATGATAAATTCTTCTTCGAAAATGCATAGAGTATTCGCTAGCTATGGATTATTCTTATTGATGCTATTTTAACTGAAATTTACACAGGAACAGAGTATTGATTTTTTCATAGTCTATTTCTCTAATCTCTTAAGATAGGAAATTCTGCCAAGTATTGCCTTTTCCGTAACTACAATATGAATACTATGGCTTTCCGGATAATCTTACATTTCGAATAAGATTTAATAAATTCGACTCCACGGACCGTTGCTTGGATTATACTATGTACTTTTTTCTTCGTTATTACACACTGGCCAATAACAAAAATAAGATAATTATCAACCATGCTTCCTGCTCGATCGCAATGAATAAATGTCTTACTTACAATTGTATTCTACCCATTGACAATCTGACCATTAACAACGTAGGCAATTATACATTTCGAATTGCTACCTTGTGGATGTACCGATACTGAGCAAGCGTTTACCTAATTAAAAGCTTGAGGTTGTATTATAAATCGTATTCGAATAGTAGAAATGTGATATTCATCTCAGAGTGACTCTGATCGTTTATTGATTATAATACTCATATGCAATTACTATAGTATTTTAAATTGATTATATTATTATAATTCATATTGAGTATAGAATGTATTAATCGTTGTATCATCGAAAGTAAAGAACCTACTCCAGGAACAACCACATATGTTAGTTGTATAGCTAATGGAGATCCAATGCCAAAGATACTGTGAAAAC